ATTATCCATTTCTTTTTTTTCAGAGCAATGAAAAAATATTTACAAATTATAGCTTGAAATATAAGGTCATAATCTGGCCTCAGCCAGGTCTGTGAACACAGAAGTTGGACATCATCAATGTCAAGCATGAAAAGTCTGTTAGGAGTTGAGTTGCTATGAGATTTTACAGCAAAGAAAGCAAGGATGATGGTTGTGGAGCTGAGGGCTCCATGGACTTTCCAGACATAAAGAAACCTGCTCTAGTAATCCAAAACTTATTGGAAATGGCCTGGGATATATCATTTTAGCTAATGGGAATGTTAATTAGAGCTTTTAAATTCCCACTTCAAGGAAAGATTTGATCCTTCATGGTTGTGAAATACTTACCTCATGAATTCCTAGACTACAGGTTATACAGAAGAATAAGTCATACAATATGCTCTAACTTCACAGTCCTTTATGAAATGATGGTTTGATCAAATGCTTTCTTATGATTCTGCCAAGATGAGGAGCCCTGTTTTGATCCTTTTTATTGTGTCTGCCTCTAGTGAGCAGGGGAAAGTCCAAGGGGAATGGGAGTAAAAGGCAGCTCACGTTTCTTACTGTGAAGTTGAATCTCCCAGGGTACTCCCTCCTTAAGAATGAACATTCTTACGCAGGTTTTGTTTGGGTAGAAGCTTACTGTGTGGATCCAGCCTAGGTAAATGCCCGGGAAAATGTGTGGTTACATGGAGTTTTTATTGCTCTTTAATTAAGTGTAAATTAATTTTTACATTTAGTAGTAATTATGAGCAATTATGTAAACTACCATATGAAGCATTAAACATAGTAAGTGGACGAATAGAAAAGTTGGCCAATCATTTAGTGAAATGAATCAAATCAAATCAAGTTTAATATATGACCTCCTTTTCCTGTTGCTTGGTTTTCACTACCACCTCCAGTGGCCTGAGTGACACTAGTGCACATGCAGCTAGGTGAAGTGGAACCATGAATGCTCAGAGGAGGAGGATTTTTCTTAATGCCAAGTGTGTCCTGTATTTTTTTTTTTTTTTTGAGAAAGATTAGCCCTGAGCTAACTACTGCCAATCCTCCTCTTTTTGCTGAGGAAGACTGGCCCTGAGCTAACATCTGTGCCCATCTTCCTCCACTTTATATGTGGGACGCCTGCCTCAGCATGGCTGGACAAGTGGTGCCATGTCCGCACCCGGGATCTGAACTGGCGAATCCCAGGCCGCCAAAGAAGAATGTGTGCACTTAACCACCGCGCCACCGGGCCAGCCCCTGTCCTGTATTTTAAAGGTGTTCCTATTTGTCTCTATATATATTGCTTGGACATAAAATAAAGAAATAGGGACACTTCTTGAGCTATGGGAGTATGTGTGGTTAATGTGGGGTGTGGTTAATGGTTCATAGATTTATAGGAAATGTTTTCATCTTGGAGCCTGATAAAGGAAATGCCTGACCTTGCAGGAAGAATTTTCAAACACATCTTCTTCCCCTTGCCACACACACAGAGTTTTGACAGAATATTCCACCTCTCCCAACCTCTGTTACATGTACTTTATATGGTCAGATTACACTTACATTTTGTTCCATAACCATAATGAGGACTTTGATGCTTTCTGTAATTTGATTCTGAAAGTTACAATCCAATAAGCAACATTTACATTATGAGTGTGCGATATTTTTCATGCAGCCCCAAGTATGATCTAGGGTTACATTTCTCTCCTGTAGTTCCAATGTTGCCATCCCTGTGACACTCAAGGACACTGTTTCAATGCCTTCTCCATATTTACTTTCAAAATCACACCTGATTTTAGTTGTCTTGGTATTTTCGAACCATGCTTTCCTCACGTTGCTGATTTGGTGCCCTTTGTTTCTTCCTTCCTTTCTTCCTCCCTTCCTTCCTCCCTTCCTTCCTTTCTTCCTTCTTTTCCTTCCTTCTCTCCTTTTTATTGAGATTCTGATTACCTTTATTTTTCAACTTGTTTCAAAAAGAAACATATTCTTTTTCGTCTTATAGCTACTGGAGTTTTATCTACTTTACTTTCATTTAGAAAGGATCCCATTGTTGTTTAGGTCACTGCTTTCTGTTCTATTTTAAACTGATGGTTTCACTTTCTCTGGAGTGTCTTGTAGATTTTCCTGAATCCTACCTTTATTTAAAGCTCAAGGCCTGGGGCCGGCTCCGTGGCCAAGTGGTTAAGTTCGCGCACTCCGCTGCGGCGGCACAGGGTTCGGATCCTGGGCACGGACATGGCACCACTCGTCAGGCCATGTTGAGGCAGCGTCCCACATTCCACAACTAGAAGGATGTGCAACTACGATATACAACTGTGTACAGGGGGGGTTCGGGGAGATAAAGCAGAAAAAGAAAAAAGAGATTGGCAACAGTTGTTAGCCCAGGAGCCAATCTTTAAAAAAAAAAAAAAAAAAAGCTCAAGGCCTTCAGATGTCTCAATCATTCTCTTCTTTGCTGTGGCATCTCTGCAGATGTCCTCTGAGCCCTCCATCCCTGCTCTCATTTGGACTGGCTGCTATCGAGGCTACATTGCCCATTTGATCACTTCCTTTCAGAGCTCTCCTGAATTCTGAATACAGCTATTTTCTAGGTGCCATATTCAGCGGTGTGCAGGTTAATGTTTAGCAATAGGCTCTCCTAACAAATAAACAAAACACTGATTTGTAGCATTTTCTGATGTCTGTGTTATAAATATAATGACCAATGTCAAGTTTTGAACTTGAGATCACAGACCATGGAGTTAGAAAGAGATGCACCCAATCCGCGCTCCCAGGTCTCTGCCAGCAGCTTCAGCACACCATTGATGAGAACCATTCTGACAGAGATATTTCTAAAAAATATTCATACTTTTTCTGAGTTAACAAAGCAACCTGGGCATCATTTAATTTTATTGAGTGGCTCTGGGTCATTATTATTAATGTCAAGCTCTAAGGCAAAAAGTGGTGTCTCTACAGATTATAACATTTAGAGAGAAGATATTTGCCTGTAAACTAAATGACTAAATAGTTTAACATGGAAATTAGATGAGCTAATTAAGTAAAAAATTCAACGGTATTTTGTTTATTTTTGAGGGGCTCGTTGTTATCGTTAGTTAACTTTTTAAATGACAGTATTAGAATCTAGTTTTCATGGTTTGTGTAGTTGTTATCTCTGACTGTCACCTGATCCTTGATATGATCTCGTTCCTGTCTTTTTTTAAGGCCTTTTATTTATGCTCTTATTTCAAACCACTGTAAATGCATTTATTAGTAAGTTATCAGAGAATAAATATTAGTAAATAGTGTCTTCAATAACGCATGCAGATTTTCCAATAAGTGATGTTAGTTTGCTTCTCTTTCATTAAGTGTGTTTTCTTTAACATCATAAAAGAGAATGCTATCCATGCATCTTCTGGCAGAAAAGAAAAATAGGTTTTCCTCTGTTTGAAAAGTTCACTTTAAAGGTTTTTGTGATGCGCGACAGCTTTAAAATAGGGTTGCTTTTTAGAATGAATTGCCTGCAGCTGCTCTTAGAGTCTTTTTTTTCTGAGCACATCCATCCTACTTGGACATAAAAAAGCCTGCATATTTAAACATCACTGATGGGCCAATAAATAAAATGCTGCATTTTTAGGGGAAGGTTCCTGAGAACTAATGAGTCGCAAGCAGAGAGGGAGGATGGAAGCGTGGTTCTACTGCATGCCTTGCTCCAATTACTTTGTGTTTTAGCCATCTCTGTGCATCTCCCCACTTGTGAAGGCAGGGGATGGTGACAAATCACTTGATGATCGGAAATACCCATGAAATGAATGTGGTTCTGGTGTGGTTGTCTTTAAGCATTTGCTCCTTTCTCTTCTCCTCCACAGCTTGCTGAAGGTGAATCTTAACCAAGGTAAATTTGGATGGAGGACATTTCTTTATGTCTAAGGAAATTAAAGCTATTCAGGCATACACCTGCCACATAACTAGAAAAATATCTAGGGTACCATTTTCATTTCAAATCTGCAGTTTCTAGTGCCATCAGTATGGCTAATCACTGGATTGTTTTATTAGAATTACTATTTTATCAAAGTAAATCTAGAAAAATGCTTGAAATGTGTAAGATTAGTGTCCAAATACAGAAGGTGGAATTATAAAATTTATAGATATAAAATACAATAAATATCATTTGTGCATGATAATGGCATTCTTGGCATTCACTGGACTATATGAAATTCATCTGTTTCATCATAAATGGTTTAACTGTATATTTTAATACATTTTAGAATTGCTTAAAAATGTTGTATGTAATGCAGATATAATAAACCGTGACATGTCTAAAATTGTCATGGCCACATAATTTTTATTTGAGTATTCAGAAAGGATTTTACCTAATCTAAGATGAATTTTCATGTAGGTATATGATCTCAATAAAATATGATTCAAAAGGACTATTAAACTCTAGCTTTACACTGGGGACTTGAGCCCAGAGTAAGTAAATAAGTAAGCTTCATTTTGAAAAAGTGGTTAGTCATTATCATCAATGAAAGTCGAAAGAAAAAAAACACAAAGATTTGATAATTTATATTTCACACAGGCAGGTAGGGATGGGTAGGAGGATCTTTTTCCCAAAATGATACTAGTTCTAGCATTGCAAGCCTGGAGTTATTGTTTCAAGAATATTATACTAAGCCAATCATTTTATTAAAACTAATGATAAATTAATATCATAAAATATGATATAAAATACCTGCCTGGAATTGTTAACATAGAAAATGACTTAAGGAGTATATCTCTAGCTCTCCAGACAGATTTAAAATGTACTTATACTTGAAGTCATAATACTGAAAGTTATCTTAGTGTATTTTCTGAGAGCAGTTGCGTAAAACAGTACACGAAATAGGTATCACTATTCTAGTGATGTGATGTCCATAGGTGTGATTGAAGTTGAATACGCAGACTTCTCTAGCTGTGAAATGAAGATTAAAATGGTGTGATTCTGCTTGGATTGGAGCTAATGGACTCTCCTTGCTTTGTTATAGCTCTCAGCGTTAGAGAGGCAGATCTTTGACTTCCTTGGCTTCCAGTGGGCGCCTATTCTTGGAAACTTTCTACATATAATAGTCGTCATATTGGGTTTGTTTGGAACCATTCAGTACAGACCTCGATATATCGTGGTGGTAAGTCTTATTTTGACCATGTCTCTTCGTATAAACACTACAAAATTGCTAGGAGAAGATGAATAAAATGATTTAAGAGTTCCTTCTGATATATTGTGGTATTGCTGTTCTAGCCTTCATGCACTGAATTCTAAGACATGATTATCTGTGGAAAAGAAGGCTCAATGGATGTCAACAATGAGAGAAAAGCAATGTGACTGTTAAGTGTGACATGCATAGTGTCACTCAGTGCAACTGAATTCAAGTTTCACAAGGAAATTTAAAATGAGGTTTGGATAGAGTAGGGGGACTGATTGTGGTCTTGATGTTATGATGAGATGTAAATATGCATTAACTGCCATTTCAATGACATATGTCACTAACCCTAAAAAGCAAAGCTACCTAGCCATAAATGTTTACCTAACTGATAACAATACTATAATTTAATATTAATTGATTTAAGACATTACAAATGCATGTGCTGAAGGTTGTTTAGTACTCATCCTTAATGTATTTCATACTGTATATCATTGAACATTTCTCCATTTTGTTAAAATAAATTTGAAACATCAATCCATACATTGACTGTGCCAAGCATGATCAGCAGACCCTCCACTGTAGGATAATTTAATGAGGTATATGCTGTACTCCACAATCCAATGGAAGTTGCTCACAGTAATTAGTAATTACTTAGTTCACAGTAATTAGTAATTAGTTCACAGTAATTAGTTTTCTTTTCTATAAAAAGAAGGCAATATTTTAGGCTACATGTACTATAAGAAGACTGTGAGAAATAACAGGGATATATAAGTAATTGGAAATAGGAGTAACATACTCTAAAATGCTCATTGAGCCTGAATACATATACACTGTTCAGTAGGATTAGTGAACATTTTCTTGCAATGCAATGACTGCCTCACTAGAAGAAAACCGTAGACTTGAAAATGTCATCTTTCCATTTTGATTTAATCCAATCACACCTATGAAAAAGAATCAATGTAGGATTTTTTTTCTGGAAATGCCTCAATTCTCTATTTTGAATCTCAAAATTGGCTTTTTGGTGTCTTTCACCATATCGCAGTGGTGAGGGGAACTGGCCCACGGCACAGACTGCACTAAAAATGGCTGCAGGAGCATTTGCTGTCGCTCAGTAAACAATCCCTGGGTTGGCTTTTCTTCTCTGTTAGACAGCCTCTGCTAAGCCACTGTATAATCTACTAGAAAGGGACTTCATGGAGTTGAACTTGCAGCGTAAGATGCTTTAATATGCGTAATATCAAACTATTGCTGGATTCTGTGCTCAATTTGTTGCTATGAACACAGAGCACCTTTACTCACTGTGGAATTTTGATATTACGATGTTGGTGTTCTACTGAAGCACCAAATGCCAGATAGCTATGAAACCAATGGCTTCTGTGGGATGAGGCTGTTGGTGTACGTTAGTGACATTCTCTAATACTATTGCTTTTACCCTCTAAATATTAGCTCTACATGCTCTTCACAAAACGACTGCCTTGGTTGAAGTTTCTGCTGTCAATTTCCCATATATGAACAGTTTGCTTGCTTTCGGCCTTCCTCCCTTCCAGTGTGCCCTTTGTGCTTTTCCTAAATCGCTGGCTGAAAACCCTTCACTAACTCTTAGCAGGATAAAATCTAATATTTTTGGCTGACCCCCCTGACCAAACTCAGTTCTCACAATCCTTCCTTGCTTCCTATCTTCTGCGCTCCCTTTCTTCCTTCTTCCTTTCTTTCTTTCTTAACTTCCTTCCTTCCAGTTTTCATTTGCTTATTCATTCAAACCCTATGTATTGGGTTTATACTATGTATCTGGCATTGTGTTAGGCGTGGGGCACATTGGGAAGCAAACACAGACGCAAATTCTCTGCCCTCCTGGGTACTTACCTTACAGTTAAGTGAGGGGAAATGTGCCTTTATCAAATAATCATCCAGATAAACGTGAAGTTGCGACTGTGACAAGTGTGACAAAGGAGCACATTGTGCCATGAAGTATATAATGGGGACATTCATCTGCCCCTGCAGGAGTGGTTGCAGAGCTGAGATCTGTGGAGTGAGTGTGAGTTCACTAGGGAAGAAGGGACCGAATGAGGTTCTGGACAGGAAGCCCTGTGGTGCACACAGGAAGGATGTTAATAGCACTAGTTCCCATTCACTTATTAAGCATTTACTGAGGACCTACTATACTGTGCTAGGTCTGGGGAAATGGAAAAGAATGTATATTCTGCATTCCTGCTCTCCAGGAACTCATTATATAAGGAGGGAGGAGGACTTTCTGCAGGTGATGAATGACAGTGAAAGGGGAATGGGAAGAGCACTGGGGAGGAGTCTGGGGACAGCAGGAACCAGCTTTAGAGAAAGGAAAGAGCAGAGTTTGTGCATTTCAGTGTCATGTACCCTCTACTCTCACCTGCTTCTGCAGCCTCTCGCTCTTGTAGCCCTGCTGGTGTTTGTGCCCTAGTTCCAGCATCATTTTCTCAGTCCCTCATGCACACCTCCTTCCACGCACTTTAACAGTTAACCGCTCCCTGCTCCTTTGCCTCTGTGTCTTGAGCATGTTTTATAACTTGTTCACATTTACATCTTCCCTACTAGGCAAAGAGTTCTTTGAGAGCATGGAATGTAATGGGTGCTCAATAAATACTTATTCATTGTTTTTTATCTAGTTTCATACCAGTTCAGAGTCCACTCATGATAGGACTGGTGTCACTTCTTTCTCTGGTATCGTCTTTTCCTTCACTTCCTTCTCTCCCTTCTCCCTCCTGTGTGTAGAAGGAGGCAGATTTAGGTCTTTCAGAGCCTTCGAAGAAAAACATCTACAAGACAAACAATCCGTGTTTTCACATGTCTTAATTTTGTCTTTTAATGCATATACCAACCAAAACTCTATTGTTTTATTTGCTATCTTTTTCAAGACCTTCTTTCAGGAAGGGGAAAAGGAAAAAAAAAATAATGAATTGTCAGGAAAGCTCTCCATGCCAAACATGTCATTTGGTTTAATCTTCACAAATATCCTATGGGTATGTATTAGCATCCTTAACTTGGCAGACAAGGAAAGGTTTAGGGAAAGGTTAAATGACTTTCCCAAGGACCCCAGATAGGAAGAGGCAGGACTGGATGTGTATCCACCTCACCTTTGTTATTGTTAGGTTTATGAAGTTGCTTTATCATGATCTGTGCTTTGCTTCCACCACCATGTTCCAGATGACATGGTGCCATTGTCAGTATAAGTTTTCGTATTGGAAATGATCCTTCGCTACCTCCTCAGTTGGTCATAGAATATCAGTATCTGTGTAGAATTCCAGATTACCTCTTCTTCTAACATGGGTATAAATTGTCTGTTTGGGAGAAACGCCTAAAGAAGACTGAGAATGAATATGACATAGGTCGCATTGATCAAAGTCTGCCTCAAAGGCATCAACTTTTCAATGGCAGTGAGAGAAGACCTGGATGGGAAATCCATATGGACTTTTCTCTGATCAGGGAAAGAGCTCTTTGACTGCAGATTTTCTCTCATACTCGCCAGTGGTGTTCTTAGTATTGGCCTCCTTTATTGGCTGAAACAGTCACCAGTAAGGCCAATTAAATTTAACCCATTTCAAAGTAACAGACTTTTTGGAGCACCAAAGCACAAATTGTAATCCAGTCCCATTTCTGACAGTAAACAGGGTTCATCACAGTTGAATTTAAAGAATTAATCACCTTAATGAAAATGGTTAAGGTAAAGGACCATGCAGGACAAGCTCTCCAATGCCTATAGGCAAACTTGGAACTCCTTAGGGTGGAAGTCAAAGCTTATGAAAACTGCTTCTTACTTAGCTGTCCTGTAGTCTTGCCTTTCCTGCTCTCCTCTAGCCTGTCAGCCATGCTGAATGATTTGTGTTTCCTAAAGGCCACGTGCTGTCACATCCTGCCTCCTCAGTTTTCACACATTCCCCTATTTGCCTTACCCACTTGGAAAACTCTTAATAATCCTTCAACAGAATGGTCCCCTTTGAGAGCCTTCCCTGACCTCCCCACTCCAGGATAAGTGCCTCTCTCTCTCTGCTCCCGTAGATGCCGCTGACTCTTCTCTTCTACCTCTCTACACGGTTGCCCTCCTTGCTTCCAGGCCCATCTCACCTCATTCAACAGTGTTCTCCTAGTAGGCAGACCATGCCTATCTGTTGCTGTATTCTAGGTTTATCCCAGTATGCATGGGCCTTTAAAGAAGCTTAATACTTGATTGAACAAGTAATAAATGAATTAAAGGTTATTGGATGAAGGGATTTTACTTTACCGGATGGACTAGGCAGTGATTTCTTATCTCAGAACATGTCAACAATAGTTCAGCAAGAGAAACTGGCCTTCCTGCCTTGCTTATCTCAATCTGAACTCGGGGATTTACATGATAAAATAGTGTGTGCTGCTCTGCCTGCACCTACCGCTAGCCGACTTCCTCCTCAACTTAATTTTTTCTAAGAAATATAATGTCTTGGGCTCCTTCCACTGTAATTGAGGAGGTATCGCTGCAAAGACTATTAGAAAAGTTCACCCAAATCACAAAAAGAAAGAGCACTAATTCCCCTTGGGATGCCATCACTCCTGATAAAGTACCATTTACTATTTCTATATGGTTAGAACGCAAAAGCAACATTATCATATGGGACTCTTTTACTGATTAAAATTTATTTTAGCTAAAGTACAAGATGGGATATGTACATTAGGGCATACGTAGTTTAGTCATAGAGTTTGAATGAACCTTTTGTGTTTCTTTGCCTGTAGACAAAATGAAGCAGAGTGTGGGCCGTGAAATCATATTTAGCAGTCATAAAGTACTGTTCTAGAATCAGTACTTTCTCTTGTCTGTTTACTCCTGCATCAAATATTTAAAAATCTTACTTGTGAATTCCAAAATGAGATTCTGCCCTAGAATTATTTAAATCTTTATTATCTTATGGCTAATAAATTAATTTAATCAAGCAGTTTTAAATCGATTTAATGCAGAAGTATTAGCTAATTTAGCATTTTTTGAATAGAGATTAATTTTGGAATTAAAATTAACTCAAAAGCACCTGTAAAAATTTTTTTAAAAGCCAAGTAAATTTTCTAGGTCTACAATTTTATTATTTGGACTTTTATGCAAATACTCGTGTGCAAAGAACCACAACTTGCTTTCCTTTGAATTGTCATACACGAAAATTTCCCTACTATGTCGTCATAAATCTCCTTCCTGAGCCACTTCTCAACGTGACAGTTAAGAGTGTCAGGGTTCCAGTTAGCTGGTCCCAGATTTAAATCCCCCTCCACCAAATATTGGCTGTGAAGACTTGGGACGTTTATTTACTTTCTTCGTACCACAGTGACTTCATTTGTAAAAACCTGACTCATAGATTGCTTTTAAGAATTATATTATCTAATGTATGTGACTGACTTAGCATAACTTAACACAGAATAACTGCTTGATAAATGATGGAGCTGTTTAATGGCTTTTTTTTTCACTTTCACTCTGCTTTCCTTGCTATTAAAACAAAGGGATGGTACATTGCTCTTAAAGTTACTCTGGACATGAATACTAACCTGCAGAAAATATTGGAACAAGGAGTGGGCAAGGAACCTAAGTATTTTTATAAATCTAACATATCGTGCATAATATTGTATCCAATTGATACACATGTGAATGAATGAATAAGTAAGTGGCCTTTCTGGTAATTGGAAAACAAGCTCAGAAAGTAAAAATAATTCATGTTATAGACTAATTGCTCTATGAGAAAGAAATAGACTGGAAGACTTCTAAAGTTCATTTCAATTAAAAAATGCTAAAATATCCTCGTAAAACTAGGAAGCATTCAGGAAGCCACATAGAACACATGAATTTTTTTTTCATCTTTATAGGCATTGTCTATGTAAATTAAGATTTAAAATATGTGTACTGGATATAAGCAAAGTAGGATAAATAAATAGGTAGATAGATAGACAGATAGATAATTATACAACGTGATTTTTTTACATTAGGAAGTGAAGTCTTTTATGTTGCAGATATATCTATGTGACTACATGAATGTGTAGGTATGCTCCATAATAATCAAAGGGAGGTTGTTAAAAATGGAGTGAATCTCTTTGTTTATTCTAATTTAAACTGAATTATAATTAAAATAACCCAAGTCAAAAAGAAGACAAGGAGGATAGCCAGTCTCTTATACCATATGTTGTTCTAACACTTCCTGCCTAGGTAAATTCCTATGGATGTATTGTGTGTATTGCTAGAAAATCCTTTTTTTTCATCTCTCTATGCAGACTTGTGTCTCAGGTGCATATTAAGGCATATAGTTTACATCTCATAACAATCCAAAATTCAATCATACAAATATTCTTTGTTCTCAACAAACCAGTGTATTAAAGAAACTTAGGATATTGCTTAAAAAAAGAAAAACCCAATGTTTATATAATGCATGACACATCAATTGCAAACACAAAAGAAACCAGCATTCCAAAAACATTGCCAGTTATAGAATATATGTGAATGAAATAAGCTTTTGGTAAACTGATAATTTGGTGAATTGGTCATTTGGTGAATTGTAAAATTTGGGGAAGTGTTGACTCACGAATTAATCTGTCGGTCCTTTTTCTAAGGTCTTTGAAGATAAAGCCTATCGTGTAACACTGAAGCACACCAGCTCCGCAGTCACGCTGTCAGAGTTCTCATCCTAACTCTGACACTAACTAACTAGGTGATCCAGTGATCACCTCCCTGCCTTGGTTTTTGTGTGATGACTGAATGCCTTAAAACCATGTAAAATGCTTAGCACAGTACCAGGAACATAGAAAGCAGCAGACTAATAACTCATGTTTTTGTTGAGAATTTAGGAGCTGACATTTGAAGTCTACTCAGCCTGCTAATTTTATCTTTGAAAGTTCAGAAGTGGCATCAGTGGTACAACTTGTGAGAGATCCTGAATATACTTCAGTCACTAAGTTTGTGCTATGATTTTGAAATAGATTTGTTTTATTTTGCATTCGTTATAGCTATGAGTTGATTGATTCTTCTAACAGAATACTTACGCGTTTAGGTTTGCAGGCCTAATAATTAAGAACCATGGTTTTGCAATTAGTTCAGTTCATGTCCTTACTTTAGTCTTGCTTTATTTTATGTGCTTTCCTTAACCTTCATCCGTGGCTTTTTTCTCATGACTTAGTGCTCTGCACCGCTCTCTCATTCTAATATACTCATCATTAGATTAAGAATGAAAAATATCAGATACCAGATGCCATCTTTATTAGCAACAGCTTTAAAATTTGTTGTAGTTGTTGTGACTTCATCAGCTGGCAAAAAGTTTGCATTGAGATGTGGGTTAGCTATTTTCAATATTCATGGAATATTTTGTGGTTCAGAAAAGTGTGTTTCAGTGCATTTGACACATTTTTAAAAACAGTCTAGTCCACCCATACCAGAAGACCTGACTAACAGGAGATAGCAGCAACATAAACACTATCTGCAAATACAAAAGCTTCAATCTATATTTTAACTTTTGTTAACGTTTTAACATATTTGCCACCTTCTCTAAATTTCCAGTGACTGTGGAGCCTTCCTCATTATTAAAATTGTATTATTTTTAAAAAACAAAAAGGAAGGGCTGGCCCATGGCTGAGTGGTTAAGTTCGCGTGCTCCGCTGCAGGCGGCCCAGTGTTTCGTCAGTTCTAATCCTGGGCGCGACATGGCACTGCTCATCAAACCACGCTGAGGCAGCGTCCCACATGCCACAACTAGAAGGACCCACAACTAAGAATATGCAACTATGTACCTGGGGCTTTGGGGAGAAAAAGGAAAAAAAATAAAATCTTAAAAAAAAAAACAAAAAGGAAAACCTCTTCTCCAAAAAGAAAAGATATATGATGTGACATTACATGTAACCAATTATAGGACTACACAACTACATGAGATATTTTGAAAGCCTTTAAAAAATCATAAGTGACAGAAAGATACAAAATGTAAATTAAATTTTGCAAATAGTTAAAAGCTTCTGATAAGGTTTCTAATAGGAACATGGCTATTTTACACAATGTTTCAAATTCATAATTCCATGATTTGATGAGCATAGAATAAGCTAATAAAATGATTTTAATATTATTTTTAATTTATCAATAACATGTAACAATTATAATCACTGATAGCAATAATTTAATTAGTATGCCTATGTGAGAAACTAAGAATTCATAGATTTTTGTGGTTAAGTAAAATGACTGAGCAAGCCATTGTATTTCATTTGTTAATTGTTTTCCTATTGTAAGTATCATCCTTGGTCATCCAAGCTGTTCTATATATTGATTTTCTGGGCCTCAGTTTCTTCATCTACGTGAGAAAATGACTGGATGAGTTGAGTCCTAAGACCCTCTCCACTGATGAGTCTTGATCTGAGGCTATTTTAATTCAGGCTGATTAATTCTCTCTAGGAAAGCATTTCCTAATACATAATACACTAATAAAACCAATTAATCAGTAAGGCTAGCTTATTTAGAGTTTATTGGATGTGATTGAAAGGTATTTTCCCAGTATGGAACTCTGTTGTTCATTTGCTTATTCTTAAACCTATTTATTAAATTTCATGCTTTTAAAAAAATATTCTTGTATGGTTGTCTTAGGGGCACACTCTCCACTCTTTACTCTTTATAGAATAGTCCAACAGATGAAAGTTTGTTAATTTTACTGTAAATATCCATTTTCAAATGTGGTCCTCACACAGGGATATGGAAGTGCTGGGTTTTGACTAACATTCCTAAACATTTGACAATTTAAATTATAATTAAAGATAGATAGCCCACAGAAAATTTTCATAATTGCATTCCCTGGAAAAGCTAATGCTCAGAAAACAGAAATCAAGTCGTCACTTGGATTTGACTTTGACTTGTATCTGCAAGCCAGCACAGCACTTTAAAAATAACTCTAGCTTTATTGGCTTCTACTGAAAACAGTCGAAACTATTGGATTTTTAATTTCTGGAGATCTTAGGGGACCTCAAAAGGAACACTCTTTCCTGGCGCTCCCCGTTTCTTCCCAGAAGACTTAGACTTATTGACATTTTTATTATTGATTTATTTAGTATACATGCCTTCATCTCCATGTTTTTTTCTCTTTCTTTCCCCTCTCCCCCCTTTCTCTTTAGTACACAGTATGGACTGCCCTCTGGGTCACCTGGAATGTGTTCATTATCTGCTTTTATTTGGAAGTAGGTGGGCTTTCTAAGGTAAGTTTATCATGCTTTTAAAGTGCACTTTAAAAAGTACTTCTGTATATATGTAATCTAAGTAACATTACAAATGGAATACTAATCAAAAATTAGTTTGGATACTATTCAGGAAAGAATGATCTTGGGAGTATGTTAATACAATGGAGTTCCAAAACAAAAGCCTTATGGTTTAGTTTGTTAAGCTGTAGTGGAACTCAGCTTCCAGTGTATCCTCATGTCCAGTTTAAAAAGGCGTACAGTGACCACAGCCCCAAATGTTAAGTGAAAAATGGTTTTGAACATTCTTGTGTTTAAAGTGGGAACAGGAATTAATTAAGATGTTACTGTAACAAAGTTGAATAGCAAGTTGCTATTTTTGCTTGAATATTAATACTGAAAAAACTGACGAATGAAATCCTTATACATGTAAGTGGAGCATACGTTTACTAACGACTAAGTACATCAGAGTGGTGATTCTTATCTTGAAATTCTGATCACACAGAAGAGAGTTGTCTTAATGCAACATGATACAAATGTTATTTCTGTCTGTTGAACTAATGTCAGCAAGGCACGTGATTTTCATTATGACTCCTGTAGAACCGTCTTTTGATTGCCACCAAAATGTAAGAGCATCTTGGATTAAGTTTCTAGTTGTGTTTTGTAAACATTGTTCTCATTAACCAGTGCAATTTTCACTTGAAGAAATCGTAGAGAAGAAGCTTAACAGTATAATTACAGAAAGAATAAGAAAGCAGTAATTATATTTTTAGATTTCTCATTATCAACTATATTTGTGCTAACTTACTCTATTGTTGCACGATAATCTCAGATTTTCTAAGTAACGTAATGGTATTCTACATTTGTGGTTTGTATTTAAGAAAATTTGCCTTGACCAGCACAGAGACTTTTAGAATTGTTAGGCTCCACTGAGATCCATAAGGTAACAAAGAATGTTTGATTCAGCCAAGCAGCAAAAATCCCTGAAGGATTTTCTCCAGAACCTCCAGAGGTGGTTACTCTTTGTTCTACACTATAATAAACTTTATAATTAGAACTTGTCATCATTTTCTCACATTGGAAAATGTATTCAGGAACCAGAAATGCCACTTCTAATACTGAGTTCCACACAAATGCGGTAACGCCTACCTTTAATATTTGTGCTATTAATCACATTCACCACTGATTTCTGAGACAGAACAAAGTACTTAAATCAGCGCCCAGTTATCTTCTGTAACATGCAGATTATAAAGTAATTTTCAGATGCAAATTTTATGAATAAAATAATTGTGAATATTAAGTGTAGCATTTTTCACCCTATAGTGTTCTGTATCTTGTGATTTGAATGGTCATTTTAAATCATATTTTCATTTCACTGGGTGGAAGTTATCTTTTATTCTCTTCCATAAAAATTGAATTTGAAATAAATTAGACCAGAGGAAATCTGTACTGTGGAATCAACATCATATTGTGTTGAAGGAAGGATGAATTTCAAATCATAAGTCTCATTCAAATCTTGTCTTTAGCACTTATTAACTATGGGCCCTTAGGCTAATCATTTAACCTGAATGTGTCTCTGTGAAATATAAAAACATGGCGAGCTTTGACAATAATAGTAGTAATCAGTGCTTGTTTGGCATCTATCATTGTTTTAAGCATATCATGTATGGTAATTTAGGTAAGCTTCAAAATAGCCCTGTGAAGTAATAAAAAAAAATAGTAATAGCAGTCATTTGTTCCACACAAGCCCAATTTCCCTCTACTGCCCAAGGTTACTTTTGTAACTGCTTTTTGTAACTGCTTTTCTAATATCAATATGCATGTCAAGGTTTGGGGTTTTTTTTCTAATTTCTTTGGGTGCAAGTTTAAAAAAATGGATATCGTAGTCCCAGTTACTCATTTTATTACCCATTCAAATACCATTAAGCAGTCAACCAAGTATTCTAGATCATTAAAAGGATAGATGACACCGAAAGGAGCATCCTAAAGATTTTCTGTTGGTCTCCTATTTACTGCCTCCAAGGCTGCTAACATCTCCCTGATTAGTCATAGTTTAGCCTCATTTCCAATCTGTAGGAAATCTATTCTGAAAACTAGAGAGAGTTAAGGCTCCTGGAGAAACCCGAGCACCTCTGACACCCTTCCAGGTTAGACTGCATTTCAGAAGAAATTCCTTGTCCATATGTGCTGGTTTATGTACAGAACTCTCCATCTCCTTTAGTTCCTGAAGGTATTTCTAGGAATTACCCACTTCGATAGATTAATACAAGCCTCCTATACCTTGATTTTTTGCCCCCAAAAATACAAAAATTCTAAAATAGTGAATCTTTCTCTAAAAACTGAATTCAAGTGAATTTCCATAACATCTCGCTGGATTTGGGTGCTATTCTAGCAATAGGCACCTACCTAACCATTCTTATTGACTAGTAGTGTACATCCTCACGGGCGTGAACTATCATACATCTGGCCTATTATGGGGATTCTTGATCACAGCCTCCAGATTTCCTTTGGCTGTTATCTCATCTGCCAAGCAGCTCTGCATCATACACATATCACTGTGGTCTTGAGGGTTCTGATTCTCCCCAGGCCTTGCAGAACTTGAAGGAAATGGATATACTGTTTTAAGGAATGAGTACATGTATGTTGAGGTTCGAGATGACTGTGGGTAAGTAACCGGAAGTGTCTGCACTTATATAATCTACTGGAGCCTCAGTTTCCTTTTCTGCAAAATGAAGAAAACCACAAGAGTAACTTTATTGTTAGGTGAAAGAATTAAATGAGATAATGCATATAAAGGACTTAGAAAGGATCTTGGCATATTATGAGGATTCAGTAAATAGTGGTTCTTATAATTGTCATTAACATCATCATCTTTATTATATTACTGAAGAAATTAACAGACATCGTGATCCTCATCCTGAAAACCTTTTGGTGGTTTATTTATTACTATGCAAGAACTGTAAAAGGGAAGAAATATAGGACTGAGTGACTTATTTAAAAAATATGTAACAATCCCTTGTGATAGGACCTCAGATCTGCATATTAACTTCACAGCTATAACACTATTAATTAAATTCTTTCTTTCAACAAGTAAATAGCTTTTGTGAAATACTTCTGCTGCTGGATTCTCCTGGTGTCCCTACTTCTCCCAGTGGGAGAACTTTATGCATCTTTAAAAGTCTCTAAGACTGTTTTTCATGCTGCACTTAAGAACACCAAGGGCACAATTAATAAGTTATTGCTGCTTCTTTGGAAGTTACAAGGCTTGAAATCATTTTTTCCTCCCTAGGAATACATTCAGAATGTAAATATGAAAACCCAACTCATTTGCTACATTTAAAGCTACTGAAAAATAAGTTATGTTGAGAACTCATGTTGTACTTTTTAAAACTTCCATAGAAATTAAGCTGATGTCTTATGGCATCTTTTTGATTACTCCAAATTGTAGAAACTGTAGGCTAATATTTCTTCTGATTGACTTTTCTTGAAAGATATGTGGAACTTATGCGTTAGTGATACAAGAGAATTTTCAGTGTGGCACATATTCATAGAATTCAGAATGTGCATGATTCTGCATGAGCGTAATTTAGACATAAAAAATAACGGTAAGGAAATTCTGTGAAGATTTATCTTGTATTAATTATGAGCTTTGATCATGGGCCTTCTAAAAATTTATAGGCAGGGCCGGAGGAGGGAGATAGACTAACCCTTAGCAATTCCTACTTTGCACAGGTGTTTTACATTGCCTTCACACAGAAGGAAAACCTACCTTTATTTTTTCTCTATATCATGTTTTAATGACTGCACTTTTTCCATTTGTGGGTATCTTGATTCCTAAAGAAAGTTAAGTCATTTCTCCCAATGGCACCAATATCACTTTCTTGTCCTCTTTTGACTTATCCTATCATCGTTCAGTCATGAAAGCCCTCTCCTCTTGTGAGATTCTTCAGTTGAGTATTTCACCTAAGTAGCCAGACAGGGTCAATGAGATAATTGTTCTTTTTTCAGGGCTCCTTCTTATTATCTAGCCTGAATTTTTCCTCTGTACTTACTGGAAAATTTCTCTTTCTTAATCAAGATTCATTTTCCTTCAAGTTTGGATTCATCCACTAACTTTGGCTTAGGGCAGGCACTTAAAACTTTTAGACAGTCAATCAAAGTTCTGTGTAGGAGCAACTGCATAGGAAACAGAAGTTCCATTCAGGTGCTTACAATCCACCCATTATTTTTAATAAATATTCTAAATATTTTTGTGTCTCAAAGAATTCTTTTTCTGATGTCAGTTTCAAACTAAATCAATGATGTATAGTATAATTCTATTTATTTAAATAAATACAACTTACTCAATCTAGTGTGAGTATTAAACTTACATTTATCTTCTCCTTTTGATGATTTCTGCCTACCTGGACATTTTTCAAAAGGAATCTTGAAATGTGATGTTTACAGAGGGCTGAAGCTAGGGTACAAAATATCTTTATTCAAGAATAATGTATCAATAGATGATACAGAAATAGCATTCTAGAAATCCAGGAAAACTATGCATGGTTTTGGAACTAGAAGAATGATACTCTGTTTATTATATCATGAAATAGATGACATGTCTATATTAATGAGACACTTTGGAAAAATGCATAAACAATTTCAGTTCACTAGAATAACAAAACATTTCAGGTTCTCAACTAACATATTTGTGCATACGTATCCTGCTGTCCTGAAGGAATTTTTTTTTCTTTCTTTCTTTTGCTTTTTTTTTTTTGGTGAGAAAGACTGGCCCTGAGCTAACATCTGTTGCCAATCTTCCTCTTTTTGCTTGAGGAAGATTGTCCCTGAACTAACATCTATACCAATCTTTCTCCATTTTGTATGTGAGATCCCACCACAGCATGGTTTAATGAGCAGTATGTGGGTTTGCCCTCAGGATCTGAACCCACAAACCCTGGGCGGTTGAAGTGGAGTATGTGAATTTAACCACTATGCCGCCAGGCCAGCACTTGAAAGAATGTTTTTGTCTATAATATTGA